CTGATGCTCATTCCCTTCCTGACAGGAATTTTAGGAGACACGGCAAGCGTATATACATATACCAAGACAGTTTTGCAGGTCAGCCAATCACAGCAAGTTACTTCTACTTAGGTTCAGGCTCCAAGTAAGGTAGTATGAAAAAACAGAGTAGGTGCTGGTAATCCGCAACTGAAATGTGAAATTATGGTCATTTTTCAAAAGACAGCTATGATGGCTTCCTGACTTTTTAAAGCCTGTTAGATATAGGAGGAGAAAAGAAAATATTGTCTTAAAAGACCAGAGTGAAAAAAGAAAAAGTTTGATAAGGGAAGGGCTATTTTTCACTTGGGGCAGAAAACACTGAAGGTGTGACTGTCTAAGAGGTTTCCAGTGCGTACAATTCAACAAATGTTTCAGGTGAAATTCCATCTGCTTATCTGTGCATCTTACCCCCTTCCCCTCTTCCAGCTTCCATACTAACTTCACAGAAGAAAATGTGAGAGGACAATAAAATTACTCTGCAATTATCTACTGAATGTGCAAGGAACATTTCACAGGTCTCTTTTCCCTGTCAAAGAGAAAAATTTTATAAGTAATACTAGCATAAAAGGTGCTAATAGCAGACATGGTGATTTTTTTTTTTTCACATCTGCAAATGGAAGAGAACATTCAACAACATTTGCACTTAGACTCAATTTATAACAAATCTACTTTGTGTGTGTGTGTGTGACTGATGTTTCAAATCAATGTTGTTTCCTTACAGCTGTTTCATTTCCTCTTTGGCATTCAAACCAGGCTGGAACCTCGTAGAGTCCTGTGTAAGGTTTTAAATAAAAAGATAGCCAAGCTGAGTCACTGCTGTCAAACAGTGTTCCAGAGATTGGAAGGATGTGGGGATGTATAAACACACGGCATTCATATATGCTGAACGCTGAAGACACTCATTGTTAATAAATGAACTAATGATGGTTCTGTGTGAAAAGTCTGCAGTATTAGCTCAGCACCAAGCATATATATAAAGCCATTTTTTGTGACATCACAAATCTCCTTTAATATCTAGGGCTAGTTGCTTCTCTTTTTTCTGGTAGCCTCACAGGACAGCAGAAGACTGACAGGTTACTGCTTTAATGTCAGCTCTGCTGCTTCCATCCTGTAGCACCGAGTTAGCAGAGGTTCTTCACCTCCAGCCCTGCACTTTCACACCTTTCCAAATCACCAGTCTCTCATCTGTCCACACTTCATTAGCAGCAAAAACTATAATGCTGGGGAATTATCCATTCTTAGCTAGACAAGTATATATGAAGAACTTGTTTGGCAGAAAGGCCATCTTTATGTCCTGGGCCTGTCAAGCACTCATCTTAATTTAACCCCTGTTCATAACTGGGGCTTTTTAGTGCTGCAGTGCAAATAAACACATAACAAACTGACAGACGTGCTGCTGTGGAGGATAGGCAGCTTGTGTGAAAAGAATACAGATGTCCTCCCAAGTAATTTCAAGAACCAATTACTACCAACAGTAGTCTACGAGACAACTTCAGTGAAGGAAATAATTTTCATTGGAGTTATTTGGTGCAGCTCAAAGGAGGAAATTTAATGAAGTTTTAGTGCTCAAAGACAAGAGGTTTATGGAAATTTCAAAACTGTAATAGTGTTATTTCTAAATAAAGAAGTGTTTCATGAAAAATGTGAAGAAAAACCAAACCCTTTGAGTGATTATTGATGTTTGGAGTCTGCAAGTCCTTCTTTTTTAATTGTTTTAATTGTCATTTAGAGAAAAATAATTAAACTAGTAATTAAACTGTCAATTAAACCAATGATACACATACTGTGCAATGCAAGTTTATTCCAAATATAATATTCTAAAACAGTGTTACCCTTTATCAATAACAAAGAAGCATTTAAAGGAAAAAGTAATCTCAATTCAACTAACTTCTATAATTATTTCAGTCCCACCCTATCACATCTTTCCATCCAAATATTCTATATCATATATATTGGGACAAGAGGCTGTAAAAATTGCTGCCATCCTTGAGAGTGTAATCATGGTATGGTTCTTTGTGTGCCTCACTTTAATGAAATGCCTTCCTTGGATCTTCAGTGACACAGTGAAGGTTTTGCTCAAAGATGAACCTGAGACTGTAGCTCTTTCCTCTTGGTGCAATTGACCCCATGCATGTAATTCAAGAATGTTTGTGTTTAGTGGCACAATCTTGTTAGGTACGGTAATGAAACCCTGATAACACTGAGAAATGGATTTCAATCATATGAGCAGGTAAGAATAGCTTTCCTCCCCATTGCTACACAGATGAAAGGCATCATTTTTGCTCAGTTTTTGTTTTTCAACAGTGGTGTTAAATGTCATGTATTTCACTACACGCCTTTCACATCCTAAATATCTTGGGCTTAGTTCAGAGTTTTGAATATCATGCCAATTATGTAAATCTTGAGGCTTAAATGTAAGCTTGGTATCCTCTGAAGACAGTGTCTACTTATGAAGTCGTTCTTGCCAATCTCAAATGCTCCAAATAAACTGCTGCAAGCATAACATTTTCTCTGGAATCAGTTAGTCATATTATCCTTTTCAAGCTACCAAATGTTAATGTCCAGTCACGCTGTGTCTTATAATAGGCAATGGGCACATAACAATTGCTTGTCAGAAAGACAAATAGAATTGTTTTGATGCCTGGTTATAAGTAATTAATTATAGGTGGAATATCAACCATAAAAGAAATTCTGTCATTTCTCTTTTAAGATACTAGCTGAAAGACAATCTGAGTCATTAAGTGGTGTCCACTAGTAGTAGGCATGTCAGATAGAAACGCCATCCAATTTTCATTTCATTAAAGATTCCCAAAAATATTTTCCGGGAGCCTTCTCAAACCGTGTTCTCCTAATTCCATTCTACTGCTTTTGTAGACTGCCCAGTAAATCCACAAGGCTGTGCAGACAACAGACATGACCAAACTAGAGGACACTATTTCACTTCCAAACCACTAATGAAAGTAATGGATTTAACTTTGATTTGAATAAAACTATCTAATTTTAGAGATGCATACGGGTACGAGGATAAGATTGTATATTGTTATTTCAATGAAGCTTATTTTCTGATGTATGTATTTTCTTTGTAATCATAAAGAAAAAGCAGCAAAGATTTTCCTCCCCCATGACTTGTATAGGATGTCTATGAAAGAATTTCATTCCATAATAAAGCCAATTTTATATATATATATATACATATATATATATATATCTTACACATACTGTAGCTTGGGAAAGAATAATGCTGCTGCTTGTGAATTTCTAAAAATCATTAAGTTGAACATTGTTTTAATTAAACAAAATAATCTAAAAGACACTGCATATTCCAGAAATTACAAGAATCTGGTGAACAGTACAATCCAGATGATAGAAATCAATAAAGAAGTTTTTTATGAGCAGTAACTGCAGCAAATAGGCCCAATGGAGGCATAAGACTATAAAGGAATTTTTTCTTTGAGGGTACAGTTGAGTTTAAAGAGGTGTAACAGGGATGAGACATTTTTACTAAGAAATTGTGAAAATTACTTATTAAAAAAAAAAAGTTTTTGTTTTAACCAAAGAACAGATGAAACATCAAAGCATTTGTCGAGTGTTTTACAAACCCAGCTGTGTTAATATCTCCAGTCTTTTCGGAACATTGCCATACATATTCAAGATTGTATAAATGACTAATTCACTCCTAAAATGTGGAATGCTTTGAAATGAAATGTGGTGAATATTTGTCACTATTTGGTAGCATTTTCTGAAAAAAGATGTATGTAAAGAAGAACGTCTTGAGTACTATATACATTTGCTCATCCTGTGTTCATCAGTATGGTAAATGCCTTAAAAAATGTAAAACTCCGCACTGACAGGTACAAAGTAAGTATTTCACTTCTGTTCTCCCTTGATATAAGGACCTCTTCTTGTATTCTCATAGACATGTCTCCATGTTCCTCTCATTATCCTATTCTTCTCGTCTCTGGCAGAAGAGTGTTAAACACCTTTTGCAGCACTACCATTCTTTCCCCAATGGTCCAGAATTATCAGCTCCAGGACTAATGCAGCTCTGCCACTACTGCTGGCAGAGACAGATGTTATTGGTAGTTATTCAGTTATTGACAGCTTTTAAAAAATCAAGGCCATATGCTTGAACTTGACTTGTTGGCTTATTCAATCATCAGCCAATGAAAAGAAAAGAAGAATGAAGCAAAACTAGAGCTTTGTGGTTTTTTTGACTTCTGCTGATGAGCAAGTGAGCTACTCCACCCTACATGACCCACTGCCTTCATGGTGCACAGCCATACACACACAGTTATGGTCATACACCATTACCTCTCTACTGAAGGGAGAAAAGTTTAATGAAGTTTCATCTCCAAGGTACTTGGTACACTTGATGGATAAAGGCTAGAAAAAGCTGCTGAGAAAGACAGCATTTAAGGATTTTTTGAGCTTAAATCTCACTCTTTACACTGATCATTTAACTTTATTTCATGCTTCCTCAGGAATATTACAAGAATGCAATTATTAGAACTGAAGGGAAAAGAGAACTCCTCTTTCATTGGTAACTGCAATATTCTGAGATATGATTTCACTTGTATGTCAAATCTCCAAGGCAGTCTCTTTATCAGCTATTCCAGACTTGGTCTTCAATTCCCAATTTTGAGTACTCAGGAGAAGGAAGCCAACAAGAAATCAAACTGCCTACTCAATATATCCTGTTAAAACAGATCACTTCCAAAATTCCTACTTGTGGAGTATTAAATCTGTAAGATATTGCTGTTGGCTATTATGTACTTTTTATTGTGCTAGCACTATTTATTGGATTTTATTTCTACTGTAAAAATGGTGTATATATATGGTGCAGAACTATGAAGAAACAAAACCAAAACCTCAGAAGGGAGTACTATGAATAAAATATTTCTTTTAGGATAAAGAAAAATACTGTGAATATGCTTAAAATACAACCATAACAATCAAGTCAAAACAAGAGAAAAACATACCTGTGAAAAGCCGAGTACTTCTCCGTTTTCATCAAGCACATTAAAATTAATGATTGGACCCTGGACATCAGGACTGCTGAAATCTGTATCACTGTAAATACGAACTACAGGAGCCCCATTGGCATATTTTAAGTTAGAAAGCACAGTATAGGTGTAGTGAGCTAATGCAAAGGTATGTTGTTTTATTTTCTCCATTCCACCTACAAAAGAAAAGTGCACATACATGTCATTATTCTTATGGCAATGTAAAAAAAGGATGATTTTTTCAGAATTGTGTTGCTGCAAGGCAATTAGCATGAAATTGGTAGTTTTGTATTTCTTTAAATGCTTACACAATTTGCAAATGTTTCCTTCTTCATATACAAGTTTCAGAAGTACTGTTGCACCAAGGATTTATCTATAATTAATCTACTGTAGAAAGCTGAAGTTACAGTGAAATGAATTCACATTAACTACAAGATTTTTAGTTCCAGTCTATACATAAAACTCAGATATTCTGGCACAAATGAATTGAAGAGCCAGTTTTTCTCCAGATCTAACTGGAGATCATGAGAAGCAAACATCAATCCTAACACAGCACAGAAAGCAAACTGCTAGGTCTAAGATAAAATAATAAAATTCTAAATGTAATGACAAAGTAAAAATGTCATTCTACAAGGAATTTACTTGAATAATGAAGAATTATTCTTTCAAGACTGTATTTTTTGTAGAAGAAAAAGGACATTGTAAATGCTTCATTGACTATCAATTCATGCAATCTAGTTGCTCAAGAGAAACTTTGCAGAGAAATTTTCATAGAACTTGGCTTGGAAAAAGCAAAAAGAGGAAACATGTAGGGTTCCCTCTCAACCATATTTTTTTTTTTTCCCACACTGAGTAGGTTGGAAAAGATAATCGCAGAGAATTCCTGACATCTCTGCTCTCTGAGGAGAGGTTGTGTCTTTGCTAGATGTCCCTACTGAAGTGGCTTCTGTTATGCACATTATGAACTGCATTATGGTGAGCCTACATCATGCAGAAAAGAAACCAAAACACAGAAACATTTCCTCAAAGAACTCTTGAAGCAGAATAGCACTTTTTCTGCCTGGGTTTTAGACCCAGAGTATTTTCTGTGTGCTGAGTATCCTACTTGAGGCACATGAGCATTTCTGTAACTAAAAAGATGTTTGACATTTTGGTTTACTTTTTTTTTTTTCTTTTTAAACCATGAATCTTACAATTACTTTTGTGCATACCACTTTTATATCTGAGTATCTGAAAACTTCTACAGTCTGATATAACCATTGTTCATAATTTGCTTGTTGACTTTTGTGCCTTTATTCATAAAAAGACTGTGTCATTTACGAATGTGTATAAAGGAAAAAAAATATTTTTCTCCAGACATACAGAAGAATTGCAACAATGTCTGTTATTTCACTTCTCTTTGAGTTTCTGTATTATGTGCTATCTCCTTTAGATAAGCTAGGAGAACAGACAGTAAAAGCATAGAAACAATAGATATAAGGTGGAAGCACCTTTTTGGTGCTAAATAAAGAGGAATAAGATATTTAATGAGACACTAGTATGCAAAGCACTTGCAAGGAACCATGCCAGAAGCTAATCAGTACAATTTCTAGATGTTATCCACAGTAAACTTGGCAAGCATCTCCAGAACATTTTGGTCTGAAAGATGATTTGTATTTTCAGAGTCTTTGAGAATAAAAGATTGCCTAGTCAGAGACATCCTAGTCATTGTTTGGTAGAAGTTAAGAGTCTTGAAACAGTAAAAAGGAAAACTAAAGCCACACACACAAAAGTTATTTCTGAGCATTTGCCAGAAAGTAGCTGTATTAAGAGAAGTCACTGCCTTGTCAGCTTCTGAGATGTCTATAATCTCCTGGTTCAGAGCTTTTCCAAATTGTCAGGAATCTTTTAATGGAAGATTAAATTACTGTCCTCGTGCCTTCTCAAGAAATCTTTTTTTCAGAAATTTCAGTCACTCATTCAGAGCAATCATCCCACTGTCATTTCTATATTGTTTTCAGCTATTCCCCTTTAAAGTTGCTTAATCACATTTCCTTGTTCATTAGTGAGAAGCTGATGAGTCTTTTAATTATTTATTCTGACAAATTCAGATGCAATAGCCTGTAGTTGCTTTTCTGCCCTGCGACTGGAGAGAGGAAGCCGTATTGCCAGGGTCCCATTTTTTAAGTAGCAGAATAGGTTGTGATTAGGTCTGATGTCACAGAAACCCTTGTGGAACAACTCTCAACAATATGGAGTTTGTTCTGATGAAAAAGGGATATATTTAGAAAATATCCATGGTTTCTTTTTATTTTATTCAACAAAATTATTCATACTATGTCCTGCATAAATCCAGCGCTTACGTCATCTCCCTCTCCCTGCTAGGGAAAAGAATCTGAGGAAGAGAAAATAAAACCCAGAACAAACCTTTGGTCTCTAACATGATCTAAGGACTTGCATTATTGCATCTAGTCCCATATTTGGTGTGAAAAATTAAAACTCATTTCTTGACTGAGCCTAAGTTAAATGAGAAAGTGATTTTCTTTATTACATTTTACTTGGCATTTATTAGCTTATTGCATTCCTTGAATTTATCTTCTCTCTGTACAGAACTCAGGTTTTATGAACGATTCCGTAACTCTGAACACTTTGAGATTCTTCCCTGGTTACCTGTTTGGGGATAAAGTAGTAGCACATTTTAAGCCTTTTGAAAGATTTACAGTTTGCAAAAATCATCGGTATGTCATCTTGAGAAGTTGCTGAGAAGGACTCAAGTGCCCTGATGCCCTCTCAGTTTATGGATTTTATTCCTTATCACTGCACTGTTTTGTTACAGTGAATTGCCTGTAGTTGCTAGTAAAAATTATTTTAAAATTAAGAAAAATTTATGCATTCTGTAATTTGGATCAGAATTAATGTGATTTCTAAATTACACCAGATGAAGTCCTTCTAATACCATTCACTGTATTTATGTGTGTTATATGCATAGGAACACATTCAGCATAAAGAATGCTCACAGTCCACAATCTGGACTCATTAACGACTTACTTCTTCCCATGGTAGAAGTTTAAGGACTTCTCTGTTAAAAGGGAAACTCCCGAATTTCTGTGGATTAATATTTATTAATATTTATTAATATTTCTGTGGATTAATATTAATTTTTCCCCATGTGTATGTTTTGACATTACATTAAGCCAGACATGATTATTTAAATAATTCTTCTTCCCAAAAGCACCAAGTTTTTCCACACTGTTTGTTACCACAATAAATGCCATATATTCTTGCAGTGACAAAGTTTTCAAGCAGAAGAGATTGACAAAGAAAACTTGTACTTCTGTGTACTTGTACTCCCTGCCAAAGTATTCTAGCAAACCTGTGGAGATGCTGTTATACCTCCTCTTGCTGATGAATGTTTGCACACTACAGCATCCTGACAGGTTAGCACCTTCTCAGACCTCCAATCCCATCCTATACCTCAATTTGTATATTGTTATGGAAAGTAATACTGTTCTAGTATGGAAAATTCAGAGTGCTAGTGCACTGGCTAGCCCACAGATAAATTTACAGTGTCATATCTTCCATAGGAATTGCATGTGTGCATATGCCTATCCACCGAGACTGTGGGACAGTTCAGCCATCTGGAAGAGAAGGGCAAGTTATGTAACATTTACAAAAAGGTGCAAACTATGTGCATGTAAACTATGCACAATTGTCATAACGTTATTGTAAATCCACTGCTTGGCTTGTGTGGTGATAACTCCTTGTATTTGCATTACCTCTACAATCAGTGAAGAATGAGATACACAGATGTCCAATAGGTATTCAGTAAAAAAAGCCTTTGAGTTAGTTTTGCATTTGAGTTGGTTTTGCATTATGCAAATGGTAAACATGTAGTGGCATATCATCTCCTCTCTGAAAGAACCAGGATTTCAGCAGCCCAAATGCTCAAATCCTAGTTCTTCCTGAAAGAACTGCAGACAAATAGGCATATGTCAACATCTATAAAAGATTTTGGATAGAGAGATTAAGATAAAGCAGAGACTGGTACTGAGCCCCTAGAATGAAAGCTCTAATGCTTCAGGTTTTCATACTGTACTCAGAAACCTCAGTGATCTGCATTCAAATACATTTTTATCTCTCTTAATATGAAAAACTAAATACTGGAGATAAGAAAGAAGAGCGCTATAAATCGAAAATACAGTTATTGTTCTAACTTGCTATGAAAAAACCACAGAAATCGAGGTTTAAATGAAAAAATTCTCTGTCACTCCAGTAAATCAAAATTCACATATACATTTGGATAAGAAAAAGATCAATCTGATTCACTATTTTTCAATATCACCTAACAGAAAGCAATGAGGCAGAGAAATGATGAGCTGGAATCTCAGCAAACCAATCAGCAGGAAGTAAAACCAAGATGTAGCCACCTTCTAATAGATCCCAAACAAGACAGATAACTGTGTGGGACCTGTGAGTCAATGTGCTAATGAAGCCATGGAACCTAGAAATCCTGCCAAACATTTGGAGTCCTTCCTTCACTTCCTCCAAGAAGCGTACATTAAGATTCATTTCTGAGCTTTTCTTGGTGTTCTTTTATGCATAGAACTGCATGTCTCTGACTGAAATCTGTCACCTAATTACTGTTATTCCCTCCCCAAAAAGAATATCACTTGAGGATGAACTTGGGAATCGTAGCTTCGTATATTTCCTTTGCAAATGTAAGTGTTTTGTCTTAAAACTACATTAAACAATGTATTCTAAACATCGTTATTTTTTAGCAAGCCTGTTTCAAATGAAACACTGCAAATATAAAAATGAAATAGTCATAAGATTATCCAAACCCCCACCTTCAAAGGGCAACCCTGAAATGTTATAAATAGAATACAAAAAAAGCAAATAATGAGAAGAAAATAAAATCAACTTGATAAAAAACATTCATTGCTCATCTTTTGCTCCTCCATTCATCAATAAAAATACTAAATATACACATTCCTGGTGGGTTTTTCCCTCCTAATTTATGAGAACAGCTGTCCTAAGTCAGACCAAATCTTGCTACTGCCTGTTTCCCAGAGTAGGAGTAGCAGATATCTAGAGGAAAAAATATATGAAAAAAGTATGTAATTTCTAATGTAAGTTACCATGAAATAAACAAAACCACATGAAAGTGAGCCTACATGTAGGCTAACAGCAATTAAAC